AAAAGCTTCAAATGGAAGCTTAATCTCCTTTAAATAGGTCCTAAGTTCGGGACACGGTGGAATTCTACTCGATACCAGTGTTAAACGGGGCTTTTGGTCGCACCCGATTAAGATGTCATAACCTGATATGGTTGAAACTAAAATCTTTCCGATCACTAATATGGAGTGTTAAAATGAGTTCTAAACATGTTTAGACATCCATTAATTCATAATATAAATCACAAAGATAATGACTTAATTTTAAAACTTAAACGGAAACAATTCGAAAGAGACGAATTTTATGGGCGGAAACGGGTTACGACGATGGAGTGAACTTCGGGTTGTCATATTATCCCCCTATTAGAGGGAATTTCATCCCGAAATTCAAACCTTAAATACGACTCAAGGATTTCGAAAGAGATACGGATACTTTGATTTCATCGGATCTTTACGCTCTCAAATGAACTCGTGTCTTCGTATGGCATTCCGGCGAACCTTCATTATCGGGATACGGTTTTGGTCACATCGAACGGATTACTAGGGTTTAATCGGGTAGGCACTTCTTATGAATAAAGACGTGGAATATCGGATGGTTGCTACTAAGTTCTGAAGGTAGTCAGAGTTTGAAGGTTACGGAATCGATACTAACAAGGATATCGAAGGGTCTAATGTACCACAGGTTAAGTTCTCCGTGATTTCCAAGGCGTACCATGACTTTCCAAAGTAAGACATCCTACAAGAGGGTACATCTTCTGATGTCATAAGGGTTAAGGTTTTGGTGATTCCGGAAATATTCTGGATGAACCTGCAATAGTAGTCAGCGAGACCCAAGAATTGATGGGTTTCTGTGGGTATCTTTGGTGCCGACTGATTCTCTATTGCTTTGATCTGAGGAGGTTTCCACACGTATGTCTTCATTGTCTACTACATGACAATGGAAATTGGTTTGACCGATGGATATCACCACGAACTTATAGTGATCATATCGAGTCCGGCATACTATCTACGGAACATCACTCTCATGGATTTGTAGCTGTCGGTACCATGACTTAAAGTTTATCTTTGAAAAGTGGTTGGTTCTCTGAAGTGGATCGAAAAGGTCATCTATTCTAAGAAAAAGGATATCGGTTTTGACGGTCGTTTTGACTACTGAAATAGATCCAGGAATTTGGTTGATGCGAAATTCAACCTGAGGTTCGGAAAGAATTCTCGGAAGTTCTATAGGAATACATCAGGACAGTCACAGACTTCGAGGATGTTCTCGAAGTTTCTAACTTCCTTTTCCCCGCGGATCACATAGGCTAAGCATGCATTACACTCCTTTCGGTGAAAACTCTTGAGTTTTGATGCACGAAACGATACGAAGGTTGGAACCGAATCTATCGCCGTAGATCACGAGGGTTTGAACAGAGGGGAGATTGGAATGGATGGCTGTTTTCAATACAAGGGTATCGGCACGATTGGGACTCAATGAGTCTGTGTCACAGATAACGCCAAAGGTATTTATGAAAACTAACATAGGATCAATGGATGAAGAGTGATCGTTCAGAGCAAAGGTACACCCTATGGATGTATCGATAAAGTTCTCTTTCCTACTGATAGTCGTCTTGATGATGAATGTTTCATTTACTTCTAAAGGGCTAAGATTACGAAGATGTTTGAATGAATAGTTAACAGATTTTCTTTTAGCATTAGAATCAAAAAGGATTGCAAGCGTAAGAGTTGTTGAGGAGGAGTATACCTGACGAGATGGTGGGATCAGCGGTTGTCTCCTCTCGTCCTGTTACTAGAACTCTTCCAGTGTTGCCAGTCGTTGCTGTCTTGGGGCAGTTTCTCTTGTAATGCCCTACTTCTCCGCAACCATAACAGGCCTGACCAATGCCCGCTCCAGAAGTCTGATTGATTGATTGAGTTGGTGTCTTGCAATTCTTTGCAGTGTGACCCTTTATGCCACAACTGTTGCAAAACACCTCTATCACACCCCGAAACCGAAGGCGGAAATGTTCCGGGGCGGAGGACGTCATGAATATCGCAACCAATGTACATAGTAAGCAAAGTAAACAACCAATACATTACATATTAAAATTTACATTTGTTCAAAAGTAAAGTTGTACAAGTGATGATACATATTTATATATAACAAAAAGTAAGACGTGTCTTCTACGTACTCCGTCTTCGTCAAAAGGGTCGTCGGGTACCTGTCTAATGCGGACTTGAGAATACACGCAGTTTGAAAATCAGCATAAAGCTGGTGAGTTCATAAGCAGTTTTGATTTCTGAAAATGTATGAGTTTCCTTTTTAGTTTCTGAAAATGTACGAGTTTCCTTTTAGTTTATGAAAATGTTACGACCCAAGAAAATCCCATATTTTCTTAAAAGTAATGTTTGGTTAACTGTTATATTGTACAGGCGATACATTATACTACTTATACTACTTATACTACTTATATAATTTATTTGAATAAGTTATAAAATTTATATTTGTAGTAGTCTCTTTGCTCAATTTATATGGAGTGAACGGGAGCTCGATAGTATATTTTGCATTAATTATGTAATAAGTGTAATTAATTTATAGTTATTGTAAAATTTCATTTTCCGTTACAAAAGAATATATATATATATATATATATATATATATATATATATATTATAAACCATATTAAACTTTTCATGAAATTTAAGAGGTACATGGTTGAAAACTTAATGCCCAAAATGGTTCCGCACAAACCGCTTGTCTTTCTACAAAAAAGTAATAATTATGGTGTAGAAGTGCCTCAACGACTTAAAACGATTTATGTAGGTCACGTAAAATCAATGTGACACCAGTTTGGTTTCATAAAACAATCGGATCATTTGCAGACAGACTCAATTTTGTATATTCTTTATATTTTCGTAATTAGGTAAACATGAATTACAAGATTAGAGTGTTTGCTTCTTCCATGAACGCTCAATAAAAAAGTTCAAAATTACAGACGTATTAACTAGTGTTAGAGTTTGTCATTGTGATTTGCTTGAGATTTCCCACAACAGGAAGAAAGATCCTATTTCAAATCTTGTATTAATTATAATTACACTATATATTTTCCCAAAATGCATCAACACTCAGTAGATTAACGTACTAAGAGGTCCACACTAAATCGGGTGTTTGCATATTTAGACCTAAAATTAGGGATGCCACAATCAAATAAACTGATTGGAACTGGTTGGGAAACCTGGTGAGTACATATAATTATAATGTTCTATATATCCACGCTTAGCTATTTACAAGATCCAAAACTCTCACTTCGACTCTGTCGGCTAATTCCTGATTGATCTTAATTTTAACATTCTTCGAATACTACATTGTTAATGATCGTGTAAAACTCATAGCTTTAACATAACAACTCTGTTTTCGACCATCTTAGTATCGTTCAACTTTTATTAACAAGATCTTCAACTCTCGTTTATATTGTTTTAGCTAAAAATCAATCGATCTAAATTTCGATTTTTGAGTTATATGTTTTAGCTAAAAATCAATCGATCTAAATTTCGATTTTTGAGTTATATATTGCTACGCTGAATCTTAGAAAAATCGTAACTTCCTGTAATGAAGTCATATTTAGACACTCTCTATATGCACACTCTCTGTTTAATGACTAGAATAATGTTTGTTAAACCACTTAGGATAAAGAGTAATTCATTGGTAGGTCGCCACTCTAGGCGTCCCACACGCTAGTCTGCCACTATGGACCCGATGAAGATGCACATTTGACTTGATGTATTTTCCACTTGCTCGAATGTGGCTCACACCTATGTCAATTATGACTTGGCGAGACAGAAGGGACTAGAATAAAAACTTACTCTCGAACCAATAAAGCCCCCATTGATCTCAATCACAAGTTAACCAGCGACATGGTCTTCTTTCTCATTGGTCTTAAAGGTTACACCAACTTTTGGTAGTGACATTCTCTCACAGTTAAAATATATCGTACCGTTGTGCGGTAAGAGAAGAACTGTTGTCACTTTCATCTAGATCAGCTCCACATATTGCTACACACTGCACTTCTTGATACCAACGACATACGCATAGGTTCTGAATCCTCGGTATGTGGCCACCTCTAGTTTAAATATGGACTTATGCAAGGAGTTAGAAGAGTCATCGATAGGTCACCCTGGAGGATACCCCACCCACAAGCTCACTCTGGGTTTAGTATTCCACGTACACAATTATTATTATTATTATTATTATTATTATTATTATTATTATTATAATTATTATTATTATTATTATTACTATTAGCCGTATGTGTATATGTATATGTACCAATGTTTACAAATATTTGTTTAATAAAGATGTTAAAGTATATCACATAAAGACGTTTTATCATGTTAATAGGAAAATTACAAAATGTTGATATATATATATATATATATATATGTGTGTGTGTGTGTGTGTGTGTGTGTTTGTGTGTGTGTGTATGTGTGTAGGTATATGTGTAATAATCAACATAGTAATTAAGATAAAAATAAAAATAATACAACTAATCATAACAGTAAAAGTTATTCTATAACTAATAATCACAATTATAATAATTATAAATGTTATGAAAAAAGGAAGCAAAAAAATCGTTAATTTAGCCCTTGAAGCAGGGAAAATCGAATATATATATATATATATATATATATATATATATATATATGTATGTATGTATGTATGTATGCATGTATGTATGTATGCATGTATTATATGAGTGTGTACATAATCATATCAATTATTATTGAGGTTTACCCAAAATAATATCTAAGTCATAGGAGGAGACCATAATGTTGTTAAGAAGTCTGTATTGAGTAACGTTATTCTCTTTCTACAAGTTTAAATTGAAATCATTTTAAGAAAATTATATCTGAAATTTATACACTATATCATCTGTGTAATAGTTTTGTATGAACAAAAAATAAATTGAACAAGACAACTTCATTATATATTTATGAAATGTTATTTTCGTTAATACAATCATTTGATGTTACAAGCGTTTCAAGATTCAAGCCCAAGTCCGATCCAAAGCCCAACTTCTAGAAGGAAATGTATTGTTTACATTACTTACATAAAACCCTTCGGGTCTCACTAACCAATAACAATATTGAGTACCAAATCCTTGTTTAATGCATACATTAGAAGGATGACGGCTATCAAACACATGAAAATCCTGATATTTTGAACCCCACCAGAACTGACTCCAATAGTATGTAGTTGGTGTTTCATGAATTTGCCATTGGTAAATTCCCTTATAAGAAAGTGTGTGATTTCCGTGATCATCTTCTATTGATCTCAGATGAAAGTTGATATCGTCATTGATATCATTGATTATGAACATATTCCATTCACCGAGTACATCAAGAGGTTTATTTACAGAAGACGCGACAGTATAAGTAAATGGAAACATTGAGATGCCGAAGAAAAACACGAAAACCAAAAGGCGATACATTATACTACTTATATAATTTATTTGAATAAGTTATAAAATTTATATTTGTAGTAGTCTCTTTGCTCAATTTATATGGAGTGAACGGGAGCTCGATAGTATATTTTGCATTAATTATGTAATAAGTGTAATTAATTTATAGTTATTGTAAAATTTCATTTTCCGTTACAAAAGAATATATATATATATATATATATATATATATATATATATATATATATATATAAACCATATTAAACTTTTCATGAAATTTAAGAGGTACATGGTTGAAAACTTAATGCCCAAAATGGTTCCGCACAAACCGCTTGTCTTTCTACAAAAAAGTAATAATTATGGTGTAGAAGTGCCTCAACGACTTAAAACGATTTATGTAGGTCACGTAAAATCAGTGTGACACCAGTTTGGTTTCATAAAACAATCGGATCATTTGCAGACAGACTCAATTTTGTATATTCTTTATATTTTCGTAATTAGGTAAACATGAATTACAAGATTAGAGTGTTTGCTTCTTCCATGAACGCTCAATAAAAAAGTTCAAAATTACAGAAGTATTAACTAGTGTTAGAGTTTGTCATTGTGATTTGCTTGAGATTTCCCACAACAGGAAGAAAGATCCTATTTCAAATCTTGTATTAATTATAATTACACTATATATTTTCCCAAAATGCATCAACACTCAGTAGATTAACGTACTAAGAGGTCCAACTAAATCGGGTGTTTGCATATTTAGACCTAAAATTAGGGATGCCACAATCAAATAAACTGATTGGAACTGGTTGGGAAACCTGGTGAGTACATATAGTTATAATGTTCTATATATCCACGCTTAGCTATTTACAAGATCCAAAACTCTCACTTCGACTCTGTCGGCTAATTCCTGATTGATCTTAATTTTAACATTCTTCGAATACTACATTGTTAATGATCGTGTAAAACTCATAGCTTTAACATAACAACTCTGTTTTCGACCATCTTAGTATCGTTCGACTTTTATTAACAAGATCTTCAACTCTCGTTTATATTGTTTTAGCTAAAAATCAATCGATCTAAATTTCGATTTTTGAGTTATATGTTTTAGCTAAAAATCAATCGATCTAAATTTCGATTTTTGAGTTATATATTGCTACGCTGAATCTTAGAAAAATCGTAACTTCCTGTAATGAAGTCATATTTAGACACTCTCTATATGCACACTCTCTGTTTAATGACTAGAATAATGTTTGTTAAACCACTTAGGATAAAGAGTAATTCATTGGTAGGTCGCCACTCTAGGCGTCCCACACGCTAGTCTGCCACTATGGACCCGATGAAGATGCACATTTGACTTGATGTATTTTCCACTTGCTCGAATGTGGCTCACACCTATGTCAATTATGACTTGGCGAGACAGAAGGGACTAGAATAAAAACTTACTCTCGAACCAATAAAGCCCCCATTGATCTCAATCACAAGTTAACCAGCGACATGGTCTTCTTTCTCATTGGTCTTAAAGGTTACACCAACTTTTGGTAGTGACATTCTCTCACAGTTAAAATATATCGTACCGTTGTGCGGTAAGAGAAGAACTGTTGTCACTTTCATCTAGATTAGCTCCACATATTGCTACACACTGCACTTCTTGATACCAACGACATACGCATAGGTTCTGAATCCTCGGTATGTGGCCACCTCTAGTTTAAATATGCACTTATGCAAGGAGTTAGAAGAGTCATCGATAGGTCACCCTGGAGGATACCCCACCCACAAGCTCACTCTGGGTTTAGTATTCCACGTACACAATTATTATTATTATTATTATTATTATTATTATTATTATTATTATTATTATTATTATTATTATTATTATTACTATTAGCCGTATGTTTATATGTATATGTACCAATGTTTACAAATATTTGTTTAATAAAGATGTTAAAGTATATCACATAAAGACGTTTGATCATGTTAATAGGAAAATTACAAAATGTTGATATATATATATATATATATATGTGTGTGTGTGTGTGTGTGTGTGTTTGTGTGTGTGTATGTGTGTAGGTATATGTGTAATAATCAACATAGTAATTAAGATAAAAATAAAAATAATACAACTAATCATAACAGTAAAAGTTATTCTATAACTAATAATCACAATTATAATAATTATAAATGTTATGAAAAAAGGAAGCAAAAAAATCGTTAATTTAGCCCTTGAAGCAGGGAAAATCGAATATATATATATATATATATATATATATATATATGTATGTATGTATGTATGTATGTATGTATGCATGTATGTATGTATGCATGTATTATATGAGTGTGTATATAATCATATCAATTATTATTGAGGTTTACCCAAAATAATATCTAAGTCATAGGAGGAGACCATAATGTTGTTAAGAAGTCTGTATTGAGTAACGTTATTCTCTTTCTACAAGTTTAAATTGAAATCATTTTAAGAAAATTATATCTGAAATTTATACACTATATCATCTGTGTAATAGTTTTGTATGAACAAAAAATAAATTGAACAAGACAACTTCATTATATATTTATGAAATGTTATTGTGTAATAGTTTTGTATGAACAAAAAATAAATTGAACAAGACAACTTCATTATATATTTATGAAATGTTATTTTCGTTAATACAATCATTTGATGTTACAAGCGTTTCAAGATTCAAGCCCAAGTCCGATCCAAAGCCCAACTTCTAGAAGGAAATGTATTGTTTACATTACTTACATAAAACCCTTCGGGTCTCACTAACCAATAACAATATTGAGTACCAAATCCTTGTTTAATGCATACATTAGAAGGATGACGGCTATCAAACACATGAAAATCCTGATATTTTGAACCCCACCAGAACTGACTCCAATAGTATGTAGTTGGTGTTTCATGAATTTGCCATTGGTAAATTCCCTTATAAGAAAGTGTGTGATTTCCGTGATCATCTTCTATTGATCTCAGATGAAAGTTGATATCGTCATTGATATCATTGATTATGAACATATTCCATTCACCGAGTACATCAAGAGGTTTATTTACAGAAGACGCGACAGTATAAGTAAATGGAAACATTGAGATGCCGAAGAAAAACACGAAAACCAAAAGGCGATACATTATACTACTTATATAATTTATTTGAATAAGTTATAAAATTTATATTTGTAGTAGTCTCTTTGCTCAATTTATATGGAGTGAACGGGAGCTCGATAGTATATTTTGCATTAATTATGTAATAAGTGTAATTAATTTATAGTTATTGTAAAATTTCATTTTCCGTTACAAAAGAATATATATATATATATATATATATATATATATATATATATATATATATATATATATATATATATAAACCATATTAAACTTTTCATGAAATTTAAGAGGTACATGGTTGAAAACTTAATGCCCAAAATGGTTCCGCACAAACCGCTTGTCTTTCTACAAAAAAGTAATAATTATGGTGTAGAAGTGCCTCAACGACTTAAAACGATTTATGTAGGTCACGTAAAATCAGTGTGACACCAGTTTGGTTTCATAAAACAATCGGATCATTTGCAGACAGACTCAATTTTGTATATTCTTTATATTTTCGTAATTAGGTAAACATGAATTACAAGATTAGAGTGTTTGCTTCTTCCATGAACGCTCAATAAAAAAGTTCAAAATTACAGAAGTATTAACTAGTGTTAGAGTTTGTCATTGTGATTTGCTTGAGATTTCCCACAACAGGAAGAAAGATCCTATTTCAAATCTTGTATTAATTATAATTACACTATATATTTTCCCAAAATGCATCAACACTCAGTAGATTAACGTACTAAGAGGTCCAACTAAATCGGGTGTTTGCATATTTAGACCTAAAATTAGGGATGCCACAATCAAATAAACTGATTGGAACTGGTTGGGAAACCTGGTGAGTACATATAGTTATAATGTTCTATATATCCACGCTTAGCTATTTACAAGATCCAAAACTCTCACTTCGACTCTGTCGGCTAATTCCTGATTGATCTTAATTTTAACATTCTTCGAATACTACATTGTTAATGATCGTGTAAAACTCATAGCTTTAACATAACAACTCTGTTTTCGACCATCTTAGTATCGTTCGACTTTTATTAACAAGATCTTCAACTCTCGTTTATATTGTTTTAGCTAAAAATCAATCGATCTAAATTTCGATTTTTGAGTTATATGTTTTAGCTAAAAATCAATCGATCTAAATTTCGATTTTTGAGTTATATATTGCTACGCTGAATCTTAGAAAAATCGTAACTTCCTGTAATGAAGTCATATTTAGACACTCTCTATATGCACACTCTCTGTTTAATGACTAGAATAATGTTTGTTAAACCACTTAGGATAAAGAGTAATTCATTGGTAGGTCGCCACTCTAGGCGTCCCACACGCTAGTCTGCCACTATGGACCCGATGAAGATGCACATTTGACTTGATGTATTTTCCACTTGCTCGAATGTGGCTCACACCTATGTCAATTATGACTTGGCGAGACAGAAGGGACTAGAATAAAAACTTACTCTCGAACCAATAAAGCCCCCATTGATCTCAATCACAAGTTAACCAGCGACATGGTCTTCTTTCTCATTGGTCTTAAAGGTTACACCAACTTTTGGTAGTGACATTCTCTCACAGTTAAAATATATCGTACCGTTGTGCGGTAAGAGAAGAACTGTTGTCACTTTCATCTAGATCAGCTCCACATATTGCTACACACTGCACTTCTTGATACCAACGACATACGCATAGGTTCTGAATCCTCGGTATGTGGCCACCTCTAGTTTAAATATGGACTTATGCAAGGAGTTAGAAGAGTCATCGATACGTCACCCTGGAGGATACCCCACCCACAAGCTCACTCTGGGTTTAGTATTCCACGTACACAATTATTATTATTATTATTATTATTATTATTATTATTACTATTAGCCGTATGTGTATATGTATA